CCGCTCCCGGCGGGGAGAGGCGGGCTGCCCCTTCCCCTCCCTCTGTCACCCGCCGGGACCTTCCAGAGCCGTTGGGTGCCCAGAGGTGGCCCAGGGCCATCCCGTGTGGCTGAGGTGTTGGCCTCCGCCTTTTCCCTGCCCGCTTCCCGAGGAGGCGCGGGGCAGAAGGTGCTGACAAACGACCATCTGGCCCTCCAGCCTAGGGCCCTACCCGGGATGACAGGGTTGGCCGGCTCTGGCCTAGGGCCGTACCCGGGGTGACACGGTTGGCCTGATGGCTCGTAACACCCAGTGGGTTAAAAACACCCGGTCGTGGTGGGTGAAAGTGGTTACAAAAAGTTTCTGTGGCATGTCCAATTAGAGAAGGGTTTGAAGTGTACCGTGTCTAGCTTTAGGACAGCACCTTCCTGTGACCAGGTTCCCGCTTGTTTCACACTGAAATTAAAGTGTTTGCTTCTTTGGTAGTTGCTGCAGTCGAATCTTTGTTCGGCACTGGGTTCCCTGAATCTCGTGTCCTGGCATCTGCTCAGTCTTGTAGGCCTTTCAGTGAACTTGAGGCATAGGCACTGACCTGTTGAGATGTTTTTTTAGTCATAGGAATAGGGTTATATGCTAAAAGAAACACAGTCTAGGAATATAGTTAAGGAGCAGGGAAAAAGAAGCCCCTAAGGTCTTTAGGCATAACATTTTTGACAGTGTGGTAGAGCTTGAATAACAATTCCTGTATTTTTAAAAAAAAACTATAGCAGGAATATTACATGTATGAAAATGAGTGCAAACAACAATAGGACTCTTGTACATCACTTATCATATAAATAATGTCCCAAAAGGCATGTAGTTAGCTTTGTGTTGACATAGCAGGGCAATCAGCCGTATTCTGCTGTGAGTAAACAAGCATTCTCTTAAGCTAGTTTTCTTTCTTATGTGAAGTTTTATTATTCTTAGCAGTTACTGCCATTGTCTTAAGGCTTTTGCTCTTAATGAGGTACACTAAATTCTCCTCTGTTTGTGGATGGCTGGGTGTCAGGCAGACAGCGGAGGAGGCTGTGGAGGAGTTGATAAGGTCAGGGGCGGCACTGCACAGGGGTGGCCACGCTGCTTCCATGACCAGCTCTTGCTGGAAGCTGTGGAGCCACTCTCTCATCAAGAGCGATGCCTGAATTGAGAAGTCCTGTGGGTCTGAGTTGTTTCTGCTGCCGGCCAGCCTGTTTAAATACCGTTCCCTCCAGCTCTCTGGTTTCTGAGGTAGCTTGCTGGTGTGGCACAGTGTTACGGGGAGGCCAGGGCTGGCTCCTGTCTGTGCTGGTGAGCCCTTGGGAGCAGGAGGCACTGGGGAGGCCAGAGCCCTGCCTGGTTTGGGTTGCAGAGCTGAGTGTAAGGGAGTAAGTGTGCTGTACTGGGCTTGGGGACAGTTCTTCCTGGGTGCCTTTGTCCTCCCTTCTGCAGCTGCTCTCTGTGGTCCCCTGGGAGCAACCCCAACGAGAGGAGTATTTATCGGTTGTGTTTTAAACAGAGGCAGAAAGGAGAAATTCTAAAGTGAACTCTAGAAATAGTTTTTAAACACAGCTTTTATAGGGAAATGTTGTTCCTTTTCTAATATAAACCTTACAAAAATATTTGAAGTTTTTTACTTCTTTATATGCAAATCGATGCTAGCTTGATTTTGAAATTTCCTTCATCTTTTGAGGAGGAGCACACTTTGATCAGCTTAAATTTCCAAATGGTTTCATGGAAGACCAGTTGTCTGAATAAATATTAAAACAGGCCTAGCACAAGGGAGCGCTCTAATCAAAATAAATCCAAGAGTAAGAAAAAAGAAAAAAAAGTAATGTATTCAGGTGAATAACTGCAAACCCACTACGTGTTAAAACGTATGCAGCATGAACTAGAAGGGAAACAAAAGTCTGGAATTGTGCCTAGATGTTTTTTGGCAAATGAGGGAGAATTAGGCTGCTGGCTCTCAACTTTGAATCCATTCCATTGGGATGTGCACTTGGCTGCTCACACCTTACAGAGAGGTGATGAGTAGATGTCAGCTATTATTTTAGGAAAGCAGGATTTATTTAAAAAAAAAGATGTAAACCCAAACCATCATGCTTTGGTAACACCAGCTAAGATCAGTATTTCATACAGAAAGAGAGAAAAACTAATGCAGTGCAGCATAAGGACTTTGAGAAGTGTATTTGGTTGCTGGTTCTCTTTTGTTTTATTATTATTTTAATTTTATGCCCATTGTCTGTCTTCTTAGTTTTGAACTATTCCTCTTGTTTCTTCTAACAGATTTTAGTGGGAGAGAGCAAAGATAAAATTTATATTCCCAAAAAAAGGAAATTTCACTGAAGGGGTTTAAGCGAACGCCTAAGGTGCAGTATTTGTGCAATGGTCGTATCATGGTTTATCAGTGGTTTTAAGCATTTTATTTTCTAATTACAGGTATATGGTTGATACTAGTATAGGTGAACTTCTTTAACTGTGCCAATACAACAGTAATCCAGGCTCTACTTAAACAGAAGTCGTCGTGTGTTCTGAGAGGAGTTTTAAAGTTGCTAAAAATTGTTGACTTCTTCCTGTTCTCTTTTGGGTCTAGGTTATTCAACTTCTGAAAGCTGGGAAAGCAAAGGAAGTTTCTTACAATGCACTGGCTTCACATATTATTGCAGAAGATGGGGACAATCCAGAAGTTGGAGAATCTCGTGAAGTTTTTGATCTTCCAGTGGTAAAGGTGACTGACTCATCCATGATACTGTCAAAGTAGTGGTTTTGACTATTTCATTATTATAACAGAAAATATTCATGTTTAGATGATGACCAAATGAAACATATCTTTAAAAGTCTTTTATTCTTGTTACACAAACTTTTATTCTGATTTATAGACTTCTACAATTCTGTTTTTTCCTTTCTTTTGTTGCTCTGTATCTATCAGGGCTTTGGTGGTTTTTTTGTTTGTTTTGTTTTCTGTTTTGTTTTGTCTATTTTTTCCAGATTTTTCCTTCAGTCATTTGTGAGATGGTGTCCTGTTAGCTGTACTTTAGATATGCTTCTGGTGAGAAGGTTCTTACAGGCTTCTGGCAACGGAAAACCTCAGTTTAGAATAAGCAGTAGACTGCTGAGGGTTTTTTTAAACACATATAATTGGCAAGGTGTAAAATGATTTTGTTGGTTCTGCATATGTGTGCTATGCTAATTTTAAACAATAGGAACTTGCAGAAAGATAGATTTTTTTTTCTCTTTATTTTATTATTATTTTTTTTTCTTATACTGAAATTACCAGTGTTTTGTTATTTTCTTGCAATACTGAGTTATTTTTCCAGTGAAAGATTCTGGGCTTCATGCTTGAAAATGTGAGCTTGTCACTCTGCAAGTTATGAGAGTGATTAGAACTAAAAACACTAGTATTTCACTGCCAGTACCTTTGGGTACATGATTTGGGGTTATTTTTTCCATATGGTTGAAGGTGGTAGTAGAGAATTCTGATAGCTTATGTCATGAGAGCTCACCTGACAGTGTAGAAGCATGAATTAAGTCCAAAAAATAAAAGGTGATTAGCTAGAGACCTTATACTTACAGTGGGTGTGCTGATTAATTTTTAGTTCCTTTTTTTGAAGTGTTTTGTGGCATAATTTTAATCTTATAAAGAAGAAGACTGCTGCCATTCCCCTGTGAAGGAGGCACACCAGTGTCATACCAGTGCTTCCTGCTTTCTAATGCTTTTTACTTAAATAATTTAGTTTTCTTTATAACTGATACTAACTAAACTTTTTCGTTTGCCAAACGAGAACAGGTCTTTCAGTAATGTCACTTAGTTTGACCTGAAAGCATCACAGCACAATCTGTAATCAGGATGATTACACTAATTATTAAGGGAAGTCGGAGGCAAAGGTAGCTTGTTATCAGGAGAAAAGGCATAGAGAATAAGAAAGTGAAAAACTTGAGGGAGGAAAATCTCCCAGCTTTTTTGCAGAGGATTAAGTAGTTATGAATTAGATGGTTTTAGTTAATTTTTTATGCCTTTTCTGAGGGAGAGAGAATAGCAAGAATTGGGACACCATGTACAAATTTACCACAATATATTTGTTTGTTTTTTTAAGAAAAAGAAACTTCATACTGAATGTGATGCCACTCTTTCCCCTTCCTTGTATGCTGTATTGGGACCACTGTCCCACATCTCTTCCCTTCTCCACCACTCTCCCAGAGGGGACATACTGTCCTGGAACACTGTCAGTTCGGGGTCATAACCTGGGTGTTTAGCAGCCCTCAGCGCTGTGTTGAGAAAATTCTTTCTATATAGGGTTAAGGTTCCTTATTCCTTGGTGATGAGTATAAGGTAGGGGATCTTTTTTTTTTTCTTTTTGAGCAGGAAAAACTGAAAATTGGGAGAAGAGGGATAAGTAATGCTTTTCCTGACACAATAGAAGGATGGGAGAAGGGGGTCCTGCTCCCATATTGCTGCACCATCTTTGAGCAGTCTTTGTATTAACTCCTACGATCAAATCAGAACAGTTGTTTTTGTAAAGGCTTAAGCACAATGTCTGTGAAACACTTAAAACTGCGAGATGTATATTGAAACTAGCTATAGGATGAACTTGGAAGGTAATTGATGTTTCACAAATGGAGAACAAGGTTTTTAATGTCTTGTGGTTTTTATTTTTCAGCCTTCCTGGGTGATCTTGTCAGTTCGCTGTGGAGCTCTTCTGCCGTATCCTTTAAGTTCAAATTTGAATCAATTCTATAGGAAACATGTTACGATAGATACCATCAAGGGATTAAAGTCTGCTTCAAGTATGTACAGCTTAAATTTTTAAAATGATGGGATGTGGTTTGCCTGCCAAGATTGCAGTCTGCTTGAAGCTTCTTTGTCTTACTTCAGTTTTCCTGTCCCTCTGGCTTTTTTGATGCTTAATAGGCACTTGCAAGAAAACTGTCATCAAATGGACTCAAAACATTTTAGTTTGAAGTTGATAATTAACTGTGAGGATCCAGGAAAAAATGCTGGCATGCAGTAAGTGGGCAAATGTTGGTTCACAGTAGAATGGCTATTATGTCTTTTCTAGTAGCAGAATTAAGTAAGGAATAAATATGCAATAACTCTCATTGACACTGTGTTATACGTAATGCTTTACTAACAGATAGTGGTAGTATTCCCATTTTTGGGATAGTCTGTCTTTGCCTTTGGTAGACTCTTGTTGTTCATATTTGGCTAGATTTGTGTTTCTTAACTTTTTTGGAGGATATATTCTTGCATAAGGGCGGTGTATTCCTCTGCTTGTCAGTTATTACTGTTTTATCTTTATGTTCCTCTCAAGTTCTTTTCTTTGGATCATAGGCATAGTAATAATGGCTGCTACTAGAGAAAAAATTCATGCATCTTTTTCTCAGGCCATTCACAATAAAGATTCTGTGCATGGAAAAGCTGAAGCAGAGCAATACATTTCAGTACAGTTATGAGGGGATGATTGCAACAAAGAATGCCAGGACTAGGGAGGTACGCTGTCAGACATGAGATCTCATTTTGGAGTCAGGTTAGCAGGTGGTTATGTCTATAATGGAAAACAAGAGGTGGTAGATGCAAGAATCCAGGTGTTCATATTAGGAATTCAGGTCTTAATGTGCTTCAGTGATCAGAATTCATGTTTTGTACCCAGTATTTCAATGTATGGGCCTTTGCATCTTGCTGCGTCTCGACTACTTTGGAAATAGCCTGTATATTCCCTGCTTCCCCAAGAGAATTCAGCTCGGAGGGTGAACTGTAGGAAGAGAAAACATTGAATTCATCAGATAAAATGATATAGCGAGGTCTTTGAAGCTGTTTTGATCACAATAATCAGCCTGTTGGACAGGATCCAGCCGTTAGTATGAAACACTCGCCATAGTTATGGATGGTCTTCTGCCCTAAGCAGAAGAAAGTTTTCCATTAATGACTTGGCTTCCAAATGAAAAAAAAGCCACCAAACAATACATAGCAAAACCCAAATTAGCAGAACTACTCCTGTATTAAAAATAATTTGATTATTGTGATGTGATCTGGGCTGGTGATGTTTGTGTTTTGCATCTGGAAATAGTGTGTTTATTATCCTTTCATCATCAGGATGGGAGTGTAAGTTTGTTTGTGTTGCATGTGGATAAGCCTTCTCCCTGTTCCTGAGGACTGGTTGAAAAAATAATAAAGTAGCTTGGAATTAGCTACATTTTCAGGCCTAAGTAAACTAGCATTGCATTATTAGTGTTATTCTTTCCCATGGAGAAGTTTCACTATTAGAAAATTGGTCTTCTCTCTGAAACCAGCTTTTTTTTTTCAAAGGATGCTCTAAGAGCTGACGTTATTACATACCCAGAAGAGAAATCAACAGATAAAACCGTTGAGTGATGCAGTCCATAACTAAATTGTAGCTATAAACGTGTGAATGTAGCCCTGAATGGCTATTGCTCAGGAAGTCTTTATTGTGGGTATGTAGGAATAGCCAAATGAAAAGACCAGGTCTCAGTAGTATCATATTCTGGGGTTGTGTGGAAGAATGAAGTTTTGTACACCTGTCAGCCATAAACATGTCCTTTATTCTTTCTAGTGCTTCGCGTCCTTAGAACCTGGTGGGTTTAGATTTTATTCTGAGCCATATAGTGCTCACTAAAATGGGTTGTTAAGTCTTAACTTTGGTCTGTTTCAGTCTCTTTATGACTTCTAGTGCTGTGGCATCTGGCCTTTCATTAAGGATGTAGGTACTACTATAATAAAAAAATGTAGTTAATAGGAATAGCTTACTTTATCCAGTTGATTGGTTTTGGACCCTGTTTAGGCAGAGCTTTGAAATTCTGCATTTCGTCTTTTGTTTATATTTTGATTTTCAGATGTCCTTGAATTGAATGAAGAATTGTCATTGAATTTGCTGAAGAAACAATTCCAAAAGAAACATCTTTTGTCAGTTAGATATATGGATCTAATAAGAGCCTTAAAAAATTTATGTTTGCGTAACAGTTCTGTTACTTATTTGATGGGCATTTGCCTGCCAGTTGTTAAAGGTGAAGTTTAATGTAGAAAGATTTAATGCAATCTAGAAGCAGAATAATTTTGCCTGTTTCTTAAAAATACATTTTAACATTCCACTGTGAAAGTTGTTTTCATCAGGGTGAACCTGAGAAAGCAGAGTGTTTTCCTGTTCCAAACTGATGTTTGCAAAATTAGACTAACCTACAAGTAACAGAAGGGAAGTAACAGAAAAATTAATCTGGAAGCAGCCTTCTTGAAGAAGGAAATGCAATTTTGTGTGTTAAAACCTCAATTACAATGCCATAAAGAGGGCTGAAGATTTCTTAATTAATTCTTTTTGATAGCAGAAAGAGCAAGAATGAGGAAGGATTATTTTTCCATGGTCTTGTGCAGATGAAAGAGGGTCCAATTGCTTCTGAATTTTTGTTGCCAGGAGGAAAGAAAAAAAAAGTGAGTTTTGTTTGATTCCCTCTTTTTTGTTTTGTAGATGCACTTGGAACCTTACTATTGTGCTGCTTGTAATTGTTTTAAAGAGTGTCTGTTTCACTCCTATTCTTTAGAGAGTGCAAGCTGTAGTCAAACTGATGGACCTCTTAAAAGTTAAATACCGAGCTGTTGCTGCTTTATGCGCTAGGAGCAGATGTTAAGGCAGGGAGTAGACAACTGCACACTTTCCAAAGATCCAGTACTGACTGAATCTCTACCTTAGACGAGATACTGAGCAACACCATGAAATTCAGGACATTCATCAGACTTGAACTTCTTGGAGCGTTCTGGATAATGGCAGTAATGAATTCTGAAGTGTTAAAGTGCTCTGGGCTTTGTTGTCAGCTTGCTGTGTGTTGTCTCTTCAGCATCTCAAAATTTAAGTATTGCTGGTGCATCTGTCAACAGCACAGGGGAAATTATTTTTGTTTCATTACAAAAATCTCAGTGTGTACTTGTAACACAGTGCACATCTGTTTCTTTAGTCCTTTTTTCCAACATGGTATGTTATATCTTAAACACAAAATCATATGAAAATACAGAAAAGGGAGGGAAGTAACAGAAGTCAGCTGGTCTGTCTGTCTCTCCCAGGTCACTTTTGTCACACTGTGCTCTCCCGTTTCACAAAGCCCCTCCTCAGGTGGAAATTTCATAGTCTCCCCAGTCACCTCACTATTGTATTGACTTACTTCCCGGTCACCTCACTATTGTGTTGCTAGAGTTTAGCCCCATTACTGTGCTGCAGTCTAACCTTGTTTTATCGGAGCCATTCTGAACAGGGAGAACAAATTACTTCTCTTTTCATTTGGCAGCCTTTAAAGGATTTGAAGATGTATTGTCTTAGCTTCTTAGCACATCAATTCTGGCTTTTCATTTTCCTCTTCTAAGTCATATTTACTAGGTCTGTAAAAATTCTCACTGCTCTTTTTTTTTTTGCATACTGTTTCATTTATCTGTCTCTTTCATGCATGTGAAAAAAATATCCATTGCTACTAGAGGTCTTGTTGAATTTTGAAGCATTGTGGAAAACTTCATGGTAGGTTCAGGCTGTGTTTCTGTTTTTACATCGCAGTATGATGTTTTCTCAGTTCATTTTTCCCAGTAGCTCCTAGAATCCTTCTTCAGATTCTCCTGTATTTTAAAGATGGAATTAAACACTTGATAAGGAAAGGAAGCTCTTGCAATGACTTGAGTTCTATAAGCTAAACTTTCTGTGTTTAAAATCCTAAGATGGTCTGGGGGAGATGTTCTGGGATGAGGCAAGTTTGTAATGTTACCAAAACCAGTCATAATGGTGTTCTGATCCAATTTGCATGTCTGTTTTTTCCTGATGCATGCAATCTGAGTTGGAAAAAGATAGTATGCTTTTAAAGACAGAAATTTTTGAATGGTCAAATACTTGACAATGTCTGTGAAGTACTATGCACGCTATTAAACTTCTTTCTAATGTCCATCAGGAAACTCTCATTTAAATTATTTTGCCTCCTTGACACCTGCTTTCCAGTGTAAATGGCTTTTCTCCAGAATCCTGTCAGGTCTTTTTTGGAGTCACTGCCTGTCTCTCTCAGGTAAGAAGGGAACCATATTTCAGTCTACTCCAATGTACAGTATTTGTGCAATGCTTTGGTTTTTTGAGGAGAGATACCAGTCTTTCTATTGTACTAAGACTTCTTTGCTGTATGTTAGGTGAATTATCACCTAAAACAGTTTTTCACTGAAAATGAGGGCACGAACATTTCAAACTGTGAACATTCAACCAGTAATTTATCTTGTGTTCAGCCATATGGTGGTTGTAAAATACAGAGTACAGTAAGACTATAAAGTCTTTGCTCCTGTTACTATATTTCCGCTTTAACACAATATTCAACAGGTTTTATACCTACTTAGGCACTGAAACCTTAACAAGGGTGCCAGTGAGTAAAGTAAGTGGAAAGGTGGTGTTTCAGAGACTTGTGTTGATAGCCAGCTCTGTAGATCTGTGGGTAAACTGGGGGTGACCAGCATCTGTGTGCAGATAGACAGGATAAGGCCCTAGATGCTAATGGTGTATAGTTGCTTTAGACTTCTTAATAAATTATTCCTTTGATACTGTCACTAATTCTGAATGGTTAATGGCTTAAATACATGTGGCTTTCTTGGTGGGGTAGGGGAGGTCACTGTGACAGAAATTGTTAAAAAAAACCACTTCATGTTTTTATACAGGCAGTGAATTTGGGCTGCTTGTTGAAATTCTGTTTAATGGATTTAAATAGTTTGTCTAAGATAAATAATTCTTATTTGCTTGATCAGTAACTTTTTTCTCTTGTGGAAGGTGATATGTTAGTGTTGAGTTTTATGAAAGTGAAGAATGTTTTCTTTTTCTCTGTGCAGGTTAAAAATCATCATTTAATGTCTCCTCTTGTTGTGTCTCTTTGTCACCCTTTTTTCTCCCTAAGTTTCATGTTAATTTAGTAGTTAAAAGTGATAGGTGATACATCAGCGAGACTTGTAGATAGCATGTCATAGATTGTACTAAAATTCTTTGAGCAGAAGACAGCTGCTTGCATAGAACTAAAACACTTATTTACCTTCTTTTTAGGTTTCGTCTGAAGACCGAAGTACGCTGTGGGCTTTGATTACTTTTTATGGAGGGAATTGCCAGCTGAGCCTCAATAATAAGTGTACTCATTTGATTGTGCCTGAGCCAAAGGGGGTAAGAGTTTATTACATGTACAGTTCTTCTTGTAGCTCCCGTTTGCTTTTGAATAATCAAAAATTTTCCATCTCCCTGAAGTCAGGATTCTTAAGACTGGTGGTTAGTCTTGAACAGCTAAATTCAACTCAATTATGCATTACAGCTATTCAGTTTGTATTTATTTTCTGTATGGTTTTAAGCCTGATTAATTCAAAAGATGTCCAATTTCATATCGGTATTTGTAGTCCTGGTTGAATAAAGCATTTTATTCTGTTTGACTTAACCTAATTTTGACATGTCATAATCATTAGTGATTGTGATTTGTAAATCTATAGATACAGAATCAGTGAAGAAAACGGAAGGACAAAATTGAAGAATTGTGTTAAATGCCCTTCGATGTTATAAGGGAGAGAGGAATGAAGAGAGCAGAAGGACGAACAAATTATTTTCTTTTTTGTTGTTTTTTTCTTAAAGCAAAGAGAACTCTGAAAATCCCTCAAGTCATTCCTCTTAAAGTGGTAGGATAAACAGCACACAACATTCCTGTCCAACTGCTGATAAAAGTAGCCATACTTCTAGTCACTCCCATCATAGAATCTCCCTCACGGAATGGGCACAAACTTGAGTATAAGAGGTTCCACCTAAATGTGAGGAGGAACTTCTTTACTGTGAGAGTGGTAGAGCACTGGAACAAGCTGCCCAGAGAGGTGGTGGAGTCTCCTTCTCTGGAGACATTCAAAACCCGCCTGGACAAGTGTCTGTGCAAAGTTCCTGTGCAACCTGCTATAGGTAGACCCACTCTGGCCAGGGGGGGTTGGACTAGATGATCTCCAGAGGTCCCTTCCAGCCCCGTATGATTCTATGAATCTAACACCCTGCTCCTTGCAGGACTACCTGAAATTAAACCATATGACTAAGAGCATCCTGGCTACAGAATTGGACACTTGCTCTTGTTAAGTTTCATACGGTTGGTGACTGTCCAGCTCTGTAGTCTATGCAGGTGTCTCTGTAAGCCTCCCTGCCCTCAGTTCACAGCTCCTCTTAATTGAGTATCATCATTGCATTTCCTATTCCTGTGTAGGAAGTCAAATGTTGCTGCCTTTATGCAGATGCAGAAACTGAATCACAAACTGGCTATAGACAGCATTGAGCACATCAGAATAGCCTGCTCTACTATGATGCTAGTCATGCTTTGGTTGTAAGAGTTTGCCAAACTTCATGAAGTGTTCAGGTACTCCTCTTCCTGAAGAAGAAATACATTTGTAATGATTAATTCAGAGACTGAAAACACTTAAGACAGATTGAAGCTCACTTAAAAATAATTGCTTGGATGCTTTTAGTTAATGTGGTGGATGGAGCAAGTTTTTGGTGTGTTTTTGTGTGTTTTATTTTTTTGTCTTTTAATAACATGAGCACATTTCCATCACCCTTTTTTTTTTTTTAATTTTCAATCAGTGGAATGGGTCACACAGGTTAGTTATTTGAAAGTAACTCTTAAGATCAGGTTCTGTGCACTACCTTCTTACCTAAATCTGTAAAACTTCATCGAGTTTTTAATGTTGTTTTACACAAATTGAGTATATTATTGTCCCACCAATGACCCTTGTACTATTTTGGAGTTAATGTAAACTATCTAATGCTAAGATAGAGAAGAACATGTGGCTAGTAGGATGACAAAATTATGAGTATAATACATAGGAGAGTGCTTTGGAATAAAACATGGGCTGGCATTGGGACAAGACAAAGTGGAAATGGGAAATGCCTGCTTTTTCTTCCCTGTTTAATTTAAAACTATAAGAACCTTTGTAGGGTTTTCTTGGGGGGTGGTTTTTGGTCTTGTGGTTTGTTTTGTTTTTTTTTTTTTTTTTTTTTAGCGTATGATCATTCTGTGGAAGAGTTGGAAGGGTGTACTGAACACCAGCCTAGTTGTCTTCTCCATCACAACAAAATGTACTGCTTGGACAAAGAGCTTTGCTACCTAAAATGATGTTTTTAAGAGGCAATGATATATGTTTAAGAAATGTTGCCTTAAATCGTAAGCTTTTTAGAGCAAAGGGTGTTGTCTTGAGCTTGTCAGTCAAGAAACTGAAAGAAACACATTAGCATTTCATATAAAATAAATAACTTGTTTAATTTTCGTAATCATTGAATGGGAAAAATTTGATAGGATGATTACTTAAAATGTTTCTAGTCCTGCTGCTCTGACACACTGCTGCAAGGGAATCTGCAGCAGTTCATGATGAGAACAGTTTTGACACTAGTGAAAACGTAAATGGTTGCTTTGACTAGACACAAGATGATAAAACAAGGTTCTTAATAATTCTCACCACAAAGAAAGAATCAAAACTCATATCTGCAAATAAACTCTGTTTCATTTGTAATCTCTTTATTGTGTATGAATGACAGTTTCATTGTAGGAAATAACTCCAGAGAATCATTAAATTAAATTAATTTCCTCTGAATGTGCTGGTTGTTAATTTATATTGTTTGACATACAAAGAAAATCCCAGTTCAATCACTTTTAAATATTAGATTCTGAAATTAGTTTCAAATCTTCTGAAAAAAGTTTTATTTTTTTTTCCTATCTTGATGTTTATGAGCAGTTTCCATTAGAAAAGGTGTTTTGAATAAGTAGAGTACTGCTTCTCTGTCTATTTCTTAGGAAATGAAACAGTGAACTATTTGTATGTATCTTCAAATGATGAAATGATAAGGAAGGAAGAAGGGATAAAGTTTCCTATTTTGTCAGCATTGGAATCTCTCATTGAAATGGATTTAGCTAATATTGGGTCAGAAGTGTAACTTCCAAGTTGAGGGCAACGTTACAGTTTGCAGCTTCTGAGAAGGTGTATGGGAAGTATCCGACCAGTTTCTGATTTGTTTCCCTGCTGAAATACATTTTTTTTTTTTTCAGCGATCACCTTGTAAATATTTGTCTCTACTTTATTGTGAAATTCTGATTTTTCCCTAAATTCTTTTTCATGGTGGGTTTTTTTTTTGTTTGATTTGGTTTTTTTTCCATGAGGAAAATGTAAGTATAAACTGTATTTAGGTTCACTTCAAAGTATATTTAAAAATCAGGTGCATCTTAGTATTGTCTGTGATGTTCCAAGCAGTTGGAGTTCTGAAGGCTTCATGATTTCATGAAGGCACCAGGTTTCATGATTTTCAAATCCTTTGGTGAGTGGGTTTGAGAAGAATTTGAGTAGTGGTGTTTTTGCAAGTGAAGACTTAATCTTCTGCAGTTGTGCCTTCGGAGTCCTTTACATCGTAAATGTGGAGATTTTTATTTTAATCTCTTGGAACTTGTGGTTACAGACAGCGGTGTAGTTTGTCCTCTTGGTTCTGGGAGAGATCACTTTCTGTTATTGGACAGCCTCTTGTGATCTGCCTCTCCATGCTCTAGCCCTGCCCTCAAAAAAGTTACTTGGGATTTTATGTCTTTATATAAAATATTTCCATTTTTTTGTTTGTTTCCCCAGGAAAAATATGAATGTGCTTGTAAACGGAACAGCATTAAAATTGTGACACCAGAGTGGGTACTGGATTCTATAGCTGATAAGAGTAAAAAAGAAGAGACTCCATATCATCCTCGTTTAATTATATACGAGGAGGAAGAAGAGGAGGAGGAGGAAGAGGAGGAGGAAGCAGAAAATGAAGAACAAGATTCTCAAAATGAAGCTAGTACTGATGAGAAATTATCAAGCCCAGCATCTTCTCGAGAAGGATCACCTTTGGGTGATCAAGTTTTTTCACCCAAATCTACTACTGCTGATAAGGCAAAAGGGGAACTGATGTTTGATGATTCTTCAGATTCCTCTCCAGAAAAGCAAGAGAGGAATTTGAATTGGACACCAGCTGAAGTCCCACAGGCATCTGCAGCAAAGCGTAGGTTGCCTCAAGGGAAGGACTCTGGGTTAATTAATTTATGTGCCAATGTCCCACCAGTGCCAGGTAATATTTTGCCACCAGATCTGAGAGGCAATCTAATGGCTTCAGTCCAAGGTGCCCAAAGTTCTGATCGACAAGACATGATGGCTACGTGGAGTCCAGCTGTGCGGACATTAAGGAATATTACTAATAGTGCTGATATTCAGCAGATTAATAGACCATCAAATGTAGCACATGTAAGTGTTGGATTTTTAATTTATAAGATATTGGACTTTTTCTTAGGAACTATCATAGCCAAGAACTTCAGTTTCCTTTTATTGTTCTTTAAATGTACAATGGATTAAAAGTTCTCCGTATTACTTAGAAGTTGAGGCCAAATTAGTAACCTCTCCATAGTAAATAACTTCGTTCCTAGCAGGTTCACAGAAGTAAGAATGCATTTGGAAAAATTGTTTCAAGGAGTAAAGCTGTGTTTAACTATAGGTTAATATAGGTTCAGAGTTTCAGTATTGATCTCTTACCAAGAGCGGAAAAAAATAATTCATTAATTTAGAATTATGTGGCTAGTTCAGGAGATTTGATTTCATACCTCTCAAGCTTTTTATTCAGTGCAAGGAATTATTTGTGCTATAAACACATAAAGCCGTGAAATGGATTGTTCTCACAGTAGGTTCAGTTCTATACTGTGTTGTTCTGCTGGGCCTCATTAAGTTGTTAGATAGGCTAGTCAGGATTAGGGTGCAGAAGCCCTAACTTACAAGTTCTTATGCTGCTCGTATAGTTGAAATAATTGCAGCTTTTGTGTCAAATTTATTTTTAGAAGAAAATAAAAAGCGAGTGAGCATGCACTGAAATAACTTGCAGCACTGAAATTCTGAGATGTTCATGGGAAGGTAACATGAGAAAAGTAGGTGCTGGTAAACGTTAGACCTATCTTTTACTTAAATAATTGTACTGGTGCATTTATTTGGATGTTCATCTTAAGGTAAAACTTTCGAAGGTGCCTGAATAATATAGAAGCTTACAGCTAGTACTTAAACACAAAAAGTGGAGTCACTCAGAAATGTTGGTTCCTTGTTGTCTATATGACTGCTGAATATGAAACAGAAATACAGGCTTTCTTTTAAAACTGAGACTTAGATTGCTCTTCTCAGTGCCTTGAATTGTTTAAGGACTGAGCAGAACCACCAAAGTCTTGGGTTGTCCAGCGTGGTAAGTTGGCTGATGCTTTCATGTCTGAACACCATATCCACAGCCCAGTCGTTGTGCTATCAAATGTGCTTTAGTGGTGTTCCTGTGGAAGTATTTTTCTGTAAGTAATATTGATAGAGCTACAGGGCAGTTGATGGTATCATGCTTCAGCTGGACTTTGTTCTCCAGAAGTCAGTTAGACTAGGGACTATGTGTGCAAGGGCTGTTCCCAAGTACCACATCAGGCTGCTGGGTAGGTTGCTGTGCTATCTCCAGCGTGTGGAGAAAAGCACTGCATCTTAGAATTGTGAATCTGCTTCATAAAGGGAGGAATAACAATTCTACCTTTTTCCTCATAACTTCCCTCTGGCTAGGTGAAATTGTACTTTGCATCCTGCTTGGGTACCTGTCTTGGGTGGATTCCATGTCTTGGTGCACAATCTTGGAAAGTTAATGTTTAATTTGAACCTCAGGTTTCTGCCAAATGGCAAGATCTGTAATAATAGGGCATTTTGCAGATACAAAGTTACTTTCTGAATAGAGCCCTAGGATACTTTTGAAAGTTTTATCCCTTTATTTTGAAATCTACGTCCTGAAGCTTTTGTAATTTTGACTTTTGGGACTTTTTATGGAGAGCAGCATGAAGATCTCTCCTCATACTGAGCCACAGAAACATTCTTTTTGTGTGTGTTATTTTTAGTTATTGAATGTTTATACTGTAGTGCTGTCTAGAGTTTAGGGATGGGTGATACATTGATAATCGTGGTTGTGAATGTGTGCTGTACCAACAGTATCAAAATTGCTTAGATGGAACCTGAGATGTTTTGAAGTGCATTGTGAAAAAACACTTCAGCCACCTCTAATGAAGCTGGATGTCTCATTGGGAGAATACAGTTATTTGGCTTTGTGTTTTAGTGATGTGCTTTGATTCCTCTCACACACATATCACTGAAGTTTACACTGTATGTGATGAAATAGTGTGGGTGAAGGAAACGAACTTTGCAGGATTCACCAAAGCTGATTTAATGTTTAAGAATAGCAAGTCTAGAGGTTCTTATTGCTCTTTTTAATATTTAATAGGTAGGTTATGTTAAAATATCTTAATCAATAAGTAGAACTCATCCTAATCTATTAAGAATTTGCCTAATTTTCCCTCTTCTAATTCTTTAAAAACTCACTTGGTACTTTGTGTCTGCTCAGTGTGAAATGATTTTTTTCCCTTAAGAGTGAGTTACAGATCTAAAAATAAAATAAAACTCTAGATTACTTCAGCACTCTGTATGAACCTAAAATCTATTATGAAGTATGGGTTGGTTAGTGGATTTTTTTTCCCAAGAAACTATTAGTGCTCATCTGATCACTGGTTTTCTTTGTATTTTGAGATTCAATTTAAAAAGTAGAGCTAAATATTCCTGAATTGGTTCAAAAGAAAGCAAGGTTGTGTTAAGTTTCAAACAGCGCTAATTAGTAGAGGCATTATTAGCAATTTTTAAGTTAAAGGACTGTGCAACTAAATGATTAACGTAATGGGCCAACAGGATTGTAAAGTGAATATTATAGTTGATAAATGTAATTATTAATATAGTATTAGTAGTCGTAATACTATTGGGGATATCAATACACTGGGGATATCAATAATGCAGGGATGGGTTTTTATCTTAAATTCTGCTAAGATGTGCTTTGCCATATATTAGGACCCATGTGTAGGTCTGTGCTTTTCTGTGTGTAAGTCCTTTCTTTCCACTTTGCTATTAAGTTAAAGATTTTTGTTTAGCTCACAATGTATTTAAACATAGGGTTCTTTATCTTTGAGGATTGTATTTTCCCAGTAGTTCTTTAAATATTTTTAAAATTGAATGGCAACAAAAAGGTCACGAAACTAATCTTTGTTTTCTAGATATTACAATCACTTTCAGCACCTACAAAAAGTTTAGAACAGCAAGTAAATCATAGCCAACAGGGACATCCAAACGCGGTGCTGTTTAGCCAAGTGAAACTAACACCAGAGACACATTTATTACAGCAGTCACATCAAGCACAGCAGCAGCAGCAGCACCATCCTCTCTTACACCTCCAACCTCAACAACTTATGCAGCTCCAGCAGCAGCAGCAGCAACAACCCCAGATTCCCCAGCAGACTTTCCAACAGCAGCAGCCTCATCAGTTTCCGCAGCAGCAGCAGCAGCAGCAGGTCCATCAGCAGCACCAGTTCCAACAGCAGCAGCTGCCGTTTCCGCAGCAGCAGTTACACGCGCAACAGCAGCTACACCGTCCCCAGCAACAGCTCCAGTTCCAACAGCAGCATGCTCTGCAACAGCAGCTCCATCAGTTGCAGCAGCAGCAGCTGCAGCAGCAACAACTGCAGCAGCTGCAGCAACAGAATCTGCAGCAGCAGCAGCTGCAACATCAGCAGCAGCAAATGCAGCAGCAGCAGTTGCAGCAGCAGCACCTGCAGCGGTTACACCAACAGCATCAGCAGCAGCAAATGCAGAATCAGGCGGCGCAACACTTAACGCAGACGTCTCAAACACTACAGCATCAAGTTGCAGCCCAGCAGCCACAGCACCACCAGCAGCAACAGCAACAACTGCAACAGCAGCCGCTTTTTGGGCATGATCCAGCAGCAGAGAGTTAGTAATTATTGCCTTCTGATCCTGGAAAGAGTGGCTAATGACATGATATAACGTGGGTTAGAATATGAAAAATAATGCTGTGTTTACAATGTGGGATTGTAACACTTATAAATGCCATTCATGGCTCAGGACCTGTTTTACTAATTTTTAGGCAAACAGATTTAAATTACAACTAAGGATGATCCAGAAATCTGAAACACACAACAGCACTGAGAACATTCTCTTTTCAAATATTTATTTTATGCCACTAGCATATAAGTTATACTATGAGAACGTCTATGCATACCATAAATGTTTTATTTTTTTTTCTCCTTTGGAAGAGAAGAAGGGGGGAAGCTGTCAAACAGCATAACAACTGGAAAGACAGCTTAGATTTAGGAAATACTAGTAAATTAATGAGCATTTGGTATCAGATAGAAAGTTGTCATACCTTACTTTGAATTCTGGCCATGCTAGTAGAACTGAAAGCTTTTTGATTGTTTTCACTCTTCATAGCTGATCTGTATAAAAGAGTAAGTTGTTGTCTTATGTTTTCCTTTTGGTGCCTCTTCCTTTTGCCCCTTGAGCCTCCCTTCAGAGCCTCCCACCCAGAACAAAAACAAACCCCGAGCTGAACTGTGCCTTTAGATGTGGCTGTCAGCTTTGAAATTTTGAATCCTGCTTTTTCCAAGAAAGATTTACTTCAGAATTGGATGACATTTATAGCCTGGTAATAGGAAAGATTAGTGTAGCAAATATGTTCTGAGATTAATTCTTCAGACTTGCAAGTATTTAATTTTTTCTTCTTTTGTGTGTGCCAAACTATTTTAGTTCCAGAGGAGTATTTCCTACTGGGCTGTGTCTTTGCAATTGCTGATTACCCAGAACAGATGTCTGACAAACAGCTGTTAGCGACCTGGAAACGGGTAAGATTCTGCTATATTTTTAAAAAAACTATCATAACTTAATATCATAGTAACTAAATTCTAAAAGAAATCACTGGAAGTATTTCAGCACTTTTCGCTTTTCTTTAGGCGCCCTTTTGTGTAATGTACGTGTTACAACCTAAAAAACATCATTCCACTGCAGCTGACCACAAAAAGCATTGTATAGATGTGAAGTCTGGTTGAGTAAGGTCTTTAGTCAGAATATTGGCTAAATAAGTTGCAGCATTAGCAATTTCCCGACTATTAATGCTTTTAATCAGGCAGCTGTAGTGCAGCCAATGTAATAATGCATTGCTCTCTACCTTTAACTTGATTGTATGAAAAGATTTTTTTTTTTGCATATAATTTTGGCATTTAGTAGCCTATGAGGTATCCACCTGAGTGAAAAAGATGGAGGAATAGAGTGTTTCTATTTTTTGCCAACTTCTATTTTTCAGAAAAATCTGATTGTATCCTTTCCTAAATGAGAGGACTTTGATGTTCTTCAGAAACTTCTGATGGATTTTATAGTTGAATTTTCCCTTCAATTTTGCATAATCAAGTAAGCTGTTGATATTTTTAACAGCACTTGTGTTTATTGCTGAGATAGAATTGAATAGTTAATGAAAAATTGTTTAATAGTTATACTGCAAAAATAAAAAACCATGAGAAGGGTTTTTTGTTTACATAGCTTTATTTTTTTTTATTGATTCTGAAAAAATATACTTTTTGTAGCTCATTGAAAAGGTGCATATTTAATTTTGTTTTCTCCATATTTTTTTTTTTCAGAAATGTTTTTAAAGCTAGATAAGAAATCTTTTTTGGGGGGGTAACTCTTCGGTGAAATGGTGCTAATGGTGGCGGTGTCCTAAAGAGCAGACTTTAATTTGAGACAGTTTGTTTCTTAGGGTAGCTTTAAAATTGTTATATATATTAGAAGTTTTGGGTTTGTTCTCTTACCAGATCATTCAAGCACATGGTGGGACAGTGGACCCCACCCTTACAAGCAGATGTACCCACCTTCTTTGTGAAAGCCAAGTCAGTAACATGTATGCTCAGGTAAGCAAACTAGGAATGTGTATTTGTGCATGCTCTCATTTTATTACTGGAAGGGTAGGGCTTTCCAGTATGTGCTTCATGCTTAGATTGTAAGTATAAAATTAAAGTTTTTTATTATGGTTTTTTTTATGGTTTGCTGTTTGTGGTATAACAAACTTTCATAATGCACGTAGTAGATTTGTCCCAGACAACACTAAGGAAGATGCTATGAGAAGAGGGATCCTGAAAAAGTAGAGGAAAACAAAGGTTTAAAATCAAAGCTTTGTATTGTAAGAAAAGTTTAAAATAAAGATGTATTTTGGTTTTTAAAAGCTGTTTACATGTATATTTTTAGGCTTTAAGAGAAAGGAAGAGATGTATTACAGCACACTGGCTGAACTCAATCTTGAAGAAGAAGAAAATGGTACCACCTCATCGAGCCCTTCATTTTCCAGTGGCATTTCCACCAGGAGGAAAGCCATGCTCTCAACACGTAAGAAGAAAAAGCTTGCTTCTAATAAATGCTTGGTTCATTACATGAGCAGTTAAAATATAGCTAGAATGTACTTACTCAAAGCAAAATACGTATTTCTTTTGTCTCAGAAGACAGCCTTCATAAGGTCCTGTGTATATATGGTGCGTACTACCCGGTGATTCAGGGTGCTTTGTAAATCTGATTGAGTTCTGAGGGGTGAGGAGTAACACCTCTGTGAATTATTCTCTGAGAAACTGAGGTGCAAAGATTATATGAGTTGTACGGAGCAAGACGGCAGGAATCCAAGCTGCTTAGTTTTTGACTAACAGCATGCCTAACAATATATGCTCCTTGTACCATCACCCAATATTTTGAGGTGATTTTTGAGGGTTTTTCTGGGTCAATTCCTTGCAAATATCAGAAAAAGAAGCTGGTTTTGTTAGTCAGAGAACAGGAGGTCGCAGTTCCAGTAGCCTTTGCAATGAGGAGCACTGGGGAAGCTGGATTTTGTGGGGTTGAAACATAAACTTGGAGTTGAATTGGTTGCATCTTGAAATACACTGAGCCCCATCCCTGAAAGTGTTCCAGACCAGGCTGGATGGGGTATTGAGCAACCTGGTCTGGTGGGAGGTGTCCCTGCCCATGGCAGGGGGGTGGAACTAGATGATCTTTAAGGTCCCTTCCAACCCAAACCGTTCTATGATTCTATAAAACAAGATGCCAAAGTATGTCCTGGCACTGGATTTCTTTGTGCTGGATGCACAAAGATAGATGTATGGGATGACGGCCTTACCATTAGCCTGTTCTGAAAGGCATGAAAAGAAACACAGTTTGGGGAAAATTAGAATGTAACAATGTGCACGTGAACATAGTGGTTAGTAGTAAATGTAATATATAATAAATGTAGATTATTACCAACAAA